TCAGAGCTTCTGATTTAGAATCTATAATGTAAAGGCAAAGTTAGAAACAGCTCAATGTTTTATGTTAATCTGTTTATGCCTTTAGTATGTTTATTGTAATTGAAATATTGTTTTATTAACCATTCTGTCTCATACTTAACTTTTACAATACTCCATCACCTGAGCTGCTGCTGTTCACCGTGGACAAAAAAGGTTGGTATGAGCGTCAAAATATATTATAAAATATATTAATCATTTACTATCTTTGATTCACGCTGACCCTGATTTCCCTAACGCTGACCCATATGATGGTGACACTTTTAATGCTGCTTTTGAGTGTATTATTGACAGGTACAGGTGTGGGCTACCTGAAGAGGAGGAGGACCCTGAGATCGATGTCGTCGGCCTTGAGGACTCCTCCACAAAACGACACAGGGAAGAGAGCGACGACGAGGAGGAGGCTGCTGCGAAGAGGCCGAGGTGGTCCGAAGAGAGCGACTCGGATTGACTCTACGATGGGACGGGCTGACATTGTGTTCCCTTTGGCCGGAAAAAGTAAGTAGGAGCTTCAGTTTTGTTGAGAAAGTGACCTAGAATAGTCTACAATATAAAAACAAAGTAATATTATGTAACATACCTACAAACTGTATGCTACGTCTATTTGTTCATAATTGATTTCATTCATTTTCAAAATCATTCAAAGATTATTTGTCCGTCTTACTTACTATATGAATCATTTAGTATCTTTGATTCAATCAATACAATATTATTTGTCTTACCGTTATTTTTATTTTTCTCACTCCACCTCCTGAGCCGCTAACTTTCACGCTGGACTAAAAGATGAGTATCAGCATATATACTTATATGTAGTTTTATAAACTTAGTTCAGGAACAGGGCCACGCCCAGAACACAGCTCATTTCCTCTGCACAGAGTATTTAAGCACAACGAACCCGTTCACTTCCTCTTCGACTCTGTCTTCACATCCCTCCCCCCCAACTCCGTTTTTGTCCTCCTATTTCTCTCTCTCTCTCTTGCAGGATTACAGGAACAACAGGGGACTCTGCACCGCCGGAGCTTCCGAAGAGACGGCCCCCACCCTACAGTCTCCATTCCCCCCGTTCCCGGCAGCCGCCGGACATCAACGGTCCCCCATCGATCGCCTAACCTCCTTTCTACAAACCCTCCTCGTTTCTTCTTCCTTACATCCCTTCATCTCTTCATCCCTACCCGACATTCCTTCATCTCTTCATCCCTACCCGACATCCCTTCATCTCTTCATCCCTACCCCACATCCCTTCATCCCTCGACCCCTTCCGCTTCTTGAATCTAACAATCATTCCACTATGCAATAAACCTCTCGAAACTCATACTGTAATTGCCGTGGTCCTTGTTAGTGAAATAAATATATATATATATATATATATATATATATATACAAAGTAATGTGTGTTATTGTGTAAACACAGAAACACTGAGATAATTAATGAGGACGTTTCTTTATTTACAGATGTTTACTGGTCATTCTTCTGCAGGATTGTGTGAACTGCTCCGACTCATTTCTCAACTTCACTGGTTTTGTGTTGCATTCAATAAAACACTCAAGTCATCTAAAGTGACACTTTTGTATTGTGAGATTTTCTTTGGTTCAACTTCAGTCATGTTGAGTTCATGTGAAGCTTCTTAAATAGTGAATATAACATGTATAGTGGCTTAAAACAGCTTTGCATCTGTCAACAAGCAGCTACACCGAGTCATGAGGATTACGTTGTCGAACACAGGATTTTAAATCAGTCCATATTCAGATCAAAGCATTGCCACATATCCAACAGCTCTGAGAAACCATCAACGGTCAGGGAGGTAAGAAGATGAACACATAAGACGGATTGTAAACACTTCAGGAATAATACTAAGTATTTCATGAGGTAATTAAGCATTAAGTTGGGTTTGTTAGACAGAAAAAACAATGCTTTCTCCACACATACAACTAACGGGCCATGCTGGCAGTAAAGATGTGATGATCATTAAACGAAAAACATTGAAGGATGAAAAATTGAGGGAAAAAAAACATTGCTGTTCTTGGATACCACTCTGCAAAGAAATAAACCAAAAAAAAGAAGTGAATTGTGGCCTGAAGGTGGACCCAGACAGGATTTCTTTAAGATCTTGCAGTACTTGTGTCTGCACAACCTTAGCTACGTTGCCTTTAGACGACGGTGGTCACAGTCAGACAGATTCAGTGGGCTATGTGTTAGCTATATGTATACGTTACTAGTAAAAACCGGTGGCGGGCCGTGCATTTTATACCTGGGCCTTCACTGCTGTCTTACCACCTAATAACCTCATGATGGCGCCACAGCTACGGTTATTTGTTTCTTGGGGTGTAACATCACGTATTCGTTTTAAACCGTTCGGTACAAGGCTTACAAACCGACCAATAATACTGGTGCATTTGGAAAATGCTGAAGCTTAAATTGTGGTAAATATAACGTTTTCGGTGGACACCGGTCTGTCTGTCTGTTTAGTTTCCGGGTCAGCGTCTGACCCCGGAAGCAAAACAACACGCACAAACTCGCGCTACATTCTCCCCGCAGCGTTTAGCTGTTCCCTACTGATTCAAACAGGGCTGAAGCAATCGCCACACAATCCCCATTTCTCCAGACCATAATTCTTGTTTGTAAAAGAAAACAGCCCAATCTGATTCAATTATCCGGACCCTAAACCCACGCAGGACGGTATGCTTCGTAATTAACGGACAATGCGTATGGTCAAAATCGATGTAATTAACACAATGACAAGAGCTAACTCACAAGAACCGTCACATATATTCACAACAAAGCATGACAAAACAATCCAGCAACGCTCACACTAAAGAGCAAGGGCCATTCAAATATTATTTACATCAGGGAACAAAATATCTGTTAAATCTTTATATAGCTGTTAAATGTTTATACCTACATCTGTTCTACTTTTTTGCTGCCCTTTTTTATTCTTATATATTTTTCCTTGTTTATTGTAAAATAGTGTATTGTATGTACATTGAGAGCGGAGTGGAAACCGGAGACAAATTCCATGTATGCGTACGCACGTATGTATGTATGTATATATATATATATATATATATATATACTAGTGACATATCATTCTGAAAGGGAATAACAACACAATTAATCTGACTAATGTTCAGGGTAAAAGACTGAATGTTGCCTCAGCAGATTTAAGTAACAAACCTGCAAAATATGAATCTATTAAATTCTGGAAAGGAATAAAAATGAAACTGAAGAAGACTTGTGTGCAAATCTCAACATTCTTCAAATGAACGGGAGTTTCCTAGTGAAATGTGCACAAAATCATCCAACATGCTCTTTGAAGGCTGCTACTTTGCCTGGTTTGCAGCCTGACACAGTGAGCTGCTGACTGAGCAGAACAAACGAGTCTGTTACAGTCAGAGAGGCCCGTTTCTTATAAACCAGCTGATTTCACCCGTTTTTCAAATCACACAACCCTATTTAATCAAGTCCTCTGCAACGGACAAATATAATAACAGAGAAGGTGAGGAAGTCATAACGAAACTGAAAGTAGACAGAGCGGGCATAAATACGGCCATTAATCCTGCACGTTTGCACAAAGGAGTGAACAGAAGGACACCGGGTCGCATCTCTCTCAAGGAGACAATAAGAGTTAACGGGTCGGTGTTTGTGTTATTTTACTGTTGTTAACTTTCAGCTTTCAATTGCTTAGATCACTTCACGTATTCATATTTTTAACACAAGTCTAGACCGCATTTGTCTTTTATTCTTTTTCAAATTTCATTTAATTAAATTAATTGTTGTAGCTCCTTTAAAGCGTCATTTTTTTGTTGTTTTTCTTTTACTCTTATTTTCCCATGTTTTTGTTTCTTTGGGACAACATTGTTTGAAATTGGTCCAGTATTGAGTTAGCTCCATAAAGTAAAGTAACATTGGTCTCTACGGCTGTGAGATGAGTGCGCACGGGCCGTCTACAAAGTGCAACCCGGGAAAGAGACGCTACTAAAATATTTAAAAGCTCCACTGTTATGAAGTGAGGTGCCTCCAAAATAATAGCCTGCTGTTGGTTGCAACACTTACTTGGAAAAACGTGCTTTTGAATAATTTTGGCGGATGTTTATGAGGATATATATTTAATAACTTAACTGTTGTGTCACCAAAATCACTTCACGCTTCAATGGTCTCCCCACACTAAGTTTGGAAGAAAGGTTTGTTCATATTCTTGTCTCAAATAGATTCATCTGTTGATGCATCAGCCCCCGATGTATGAGGTGATAACAGTGCTGAATATATTTCACAATAACAATTCCCCAAAGTTATGCAAAAGCACGTTCTTCCTAAATACGTGTTGGAGTACAAGCATCATGGTTGACTGGATAGGCGAAGTGTTTCTGGTATTTAAACTTTATTGCAGTGAAGTTATTCATCTTATGATGCCACTTCCGGTTCTTACTCAATTGTATTTGTCTTTCAATAGCGTTGCAATAATGAATGGTATTTGGCTGAGGTTAAACTGCAGCAATGTATGCTTTAAACCTAATTGAAAAGTGTAATTAAAGATCACTTATTGGGTTGTTCTATTTGATTATTAGAAAGTCACCAATATTTCAAGATCATTTTTCTAATGTGACCCGAATGGAAGTGAAAAGGACCATTTTTGAAGCATTTCAAAAATGGTCAAATTTTGAAAATCAACAATATTTATGACATTTTTAGAATATTTTGCACAGAAATACATTTGCAGAAAAGTTGTTTCACCGAAAAATGGCCACTAGAGGGCGAAGACTGATGGGGCCAAATTGCCCGGTGTGATTGATCCTGTGAGCGGCTGTGTGAGAACAGCCCCCTGTAGATAACCTGTGTGATAAATGGCTGAAAAGAGAACATTTATATTCACTGTAGTCCTGTGTACTTAACTGCGGTGCTGTTGAAGCATACTTCTGTATTGAGAACATTTACTCAATGAAGATGCTGCACCACATTAATTCCTTCCTTTCTTTTCTTTCTCAAGTACACAAGGGCTGAAGAAGGAGGGCTCATCAGTCAAGAATAGACTCTCGGATTGAGGTTCAAGTGGACTATCCCAGGAGAAAATGGAAACTCGTAAGAGCTTGTGTTGTTTTACTCTTCTGCTGAAGAAAACTTGATTTTCAACTGTGACTAACCCGGCCTTCCCTTAAGAAGAAACAGCAGGAAACAAGGAAATGTTCGTTTCTTATCACTTTATTGTGAATTCTTGCCATATTTTCAAACTCTGCTCTCTATCATTATATTTGTGTAATAGTCAAACATAATGAACATGTTTGTTTATTTTTGTACATGCATGGTGCTTTTGTAGTTAGATGAGTTTTTTTAAAATATATATAATTGTATATGTTGCAGTGCTATTTGTATACTAACCATCTGATTCATGACATACGACTAAAGAGCTTGCTAGAAACACTTCTGGTTATCCACTTTGACATAAGTAGCAGCAAAGTCCCTTGTTGATGCAAAGTAATCTAATAAACTGAACAAACTTTTCTCATGGTGACATCAGGAGGGCGGCTGGTGGTGCCTCAAAGGAAACAGCTAAGTAGGACAACCTGACCTACTCGGTTAAACGCTGCAGTAGAGAAACACAGGTGAACTGATGTGACGGTGTTAGAAATAATCATGAAACTTCCATCTACAGTAAACATACATCCATATCTACAGTATAACTAAATCAATATATTGACAGGAAGATACTGTTTGTTGCACTGAGGTTATCATCCTATTCTCTGTTTGATTTCTCTCTAAAGGTGAGAGGGCATCATGCACCATGGCAGAGACGGATGCGGGCAGAATGGAAAAGTACAAGTCTATGATCTCCACAGTGGGGAAAAAAGTATGGAATCGGTCCAGGTCTCATTGCTGCCATCATCTCCAGAGAGTCCAGGGCTGGAAATGCATTAAAAGGAGGCTGGGGAGACTATGACACAGGCAGAGGAGCGTATAATGCCTGGGGACTGATGCAGGTTGCAAAAAATTCTTCTGCTTTCCTCACATACTCTTAATAGAGTCCCCCATTACAACAGTGTTTATTTAATTACCATTTCCCTAGGTTGATGTCAATCCAAAAGGAGGCGGACACACAGCACGTGGTGGTTGGGACAGTGAGGAACACCTCTGCCAAGGCACTGAGATCTTGGTTGGTTTTATCAAACGCATCTGCGACAAATTTCCCAGCTGGAGTGTGGAGTGGCAGCTGAAAGGTTTGTTTTACTGAATTAGTAGATTCAAACACGCAGCAGCTCTCGTCACACCTTCACCTTTGTGTTTGTCTCCGCAGGAGGGATAGCGGCCTACAATATGGGGGACGGAAACGTCCATTCCTATGGCAAAGTGAATGAAAACGCAACAGGAAGAGACTACGCCAATGATGGTTGCCAGAGCGCAGTGGTACATTAAAATTAAAAACTATTACTGAAGCTGTCCACAACAGAAATCTCCAAAAGAAATCTCCTGCAAATCATGAGGAAACACTAAATGAACATTATTTGAAACCAAACCACAAACGATATCTCCATTTATTGCGCTCAGTGTGAACTTTGCAGAAAAGCTCTATAGGTCACAGATCGGCAGAGAACATGGACAAATCATGTGGGCATAAACTCAATCATCTTCAGTAGTGACATTCATTCTTTTGTTAGGAATCACATGATGACATTTGGCCATTTTTGCTCATGACACGATGTTAATGTGTTTTTCCTGCCGGTTATTCAAAAAAGGCTGCAGATGTTGCCTTGGCTGCGTGTGTCCGAGTCAGCGGTATGTGCAGTGCTGCTCCTGGTGCTGCCTGAGGTCCACTTTTTGCTGGAAGCCGTAGGGGCAGCGAGGACAGCGGTAGGGCCGGTCGTCTCTGTGTTTGCGGCTGTGGGTGATGAGGTTGGAGCTCTGGCTGAATGCCTTCCCACATATCTGACACACATGTGGCTTCTCGCCTGGCACACAAACACAGCACAAGTCATTCGGAGGCACAGGACGCTCAAACCGTTTAGATTAAACACTGCTCTGACGTGGTGAAAGTTTTTCCAGTTGGTCACCTTGCACAATTTCTGACAGCGGCACGTAGCACTTTAATCATTGCATACATTACCTTATTTCATTCCATCGCTTGTTTGGTCCAACTTAGCTTATCATAGCATAAAGACTAGAAACAGGGGGAACAGCTAGCCTGGCTCTGTACAAAGGCAGCCAAATCCAACCAGCTCTACCAGCATAATATGTTAAATCTCAATAGTTCAATCAAAAAAAAAGACTTAACGGCAAGTTATGTACTGGACTACTTCTTGGCCGGGTGAAGTGACGAGACAACAAAGAGTCCAGAACATAACGCCTCTACACTTTGGTTTGTCGTGCAGATTCAACCAGAATTAAACAGTACACAGATCATGTATACCTTCTTGGCTGTAGTGTTCCTATGCTCATTTAGGCAGCAAGTACTGTCTGTGCACATGAACAGTGTTGTCATAAATATGTTTTGCACAGATAAGAGTACTAAAGGGACTGTTGTGGTGACTGAATACATTATAAACACTATAAACATGTTTGGGCTGCAGATACTAGTGTGAATTTGAGTTTGCATGCAAGGAAGGGATATGTGTAGGTGCTGGAAGCATTAGCGATAATATACACAAGGGATGTATGGGAAAGGGCAACTGCGGTTTAGTTTGATAATGTCACATGATGTCAGCATATTGAAAACAGCTAATGAACCCACCGGTGTGTATGAAAGTGTGTTTCTTCATGTCAGACTTCTGGTGGAACCTTTTGCCACAGTACTGGCAGGGGTAGGGCCGCGTGTCCGAGTGTATGAGCAGATGAGTGGAGAGGGTGGAGGAGCGCTTGAACACCTTCCCACACACGGTACAGCCAAACGTCCTCTCCTAGAACAACAGGCGCTGTGGTTATGGATTCAGAAGTGTTTAGCCTCATGTGTACATAAAAGTGATTATTTCAGAGTGAGGCAGTAAGATACGGGAACAGAAACGTGTTGCCGAACCTTGCCCCTGCATGGTGACCGCTCAGTATCTGTCCTGCTGGACTTGATGTGTGCCGGTGCTCTGCCCCCATGGTTCTTGCATATGTGAGTCTTCAAATTCGACAGGCATGAAAATATCTGCAAAGACAAGACGTGTTATAAAACTAAATTAAAATGAATAAATTCATGTGGGAAACTAGTTAAATATGTTTAAAAGCTGACATTTCATGGCACTTTTGACTTTATACTGCCCATTTCCCCCCGTATGTTCAGCTTCAAGTTTAGTTTAAAGTAGGTCTGTGTCTAGGACCCGAGAGCCCCCCACGGGGGGCTGTTTTGGAGTGTGCAGCATTCAGCGTGTCGTAGAAAGCATTTTTCATAAAGAAATATGATTGTTGCTCCAGACATATTAAATATCGAATTAACGTTGAAAGTCCAAGCAACATCATCATACCAGCCATTGTAAACACTGCAAACACAATTATACATGAACTAATATCATATCTGGAAGATATCTAGAAGATTTGCCACAATTTTGGCCAAAAATCGACGACCTATGCTCACTCTATGGCTCTCTCATCACGGAGCAGGATCGCACATGGCGGATGAACACATGCAGGAGGGGCACGATTCGACCCGGAAACGCACAGCGGCGTCCAAATTACTCTCTTTCAAACCGTTAAAAAGTTATGGGTATGCATGCCAACATCAGCTGCAGGTCACGAGAAAAAAATTGGGTAAAAAAACTTACGTTTTGGCGATGAAAAACGGATTTATTCGAGCCGATTTCTGCACAGCTATGCCCGCCATGTTCTGCTGTATGTCTGTGAGTGAGATCAATGCGCTGGCGGAATGAATCACAAAATGGCAGACGATTCTGTGGGGTGGAGCAATCCATGTAGAGAGGGGGGTTCGCCCAGCATTTTGCGATTTTTAGTCAGTAAACAGACCCGGATACGATCAAACACCCCTGCATGGCTCCCGTTGGACTATCCCGCATCTAAAAATGTCTCACACGAGTAAATCGGCCTTACCAGGGTCACATAGACACACATTATGAGCCATTTATTGTTATGAATGACAGATATGACACATCATAACTGCTCAAAATTATTCAAAATGGTGTCAATCTGATTTATTAGGATTATTGAACACTCTTAGTGATAAGAAAAGTGAATATATAGTTAATATTTAGTTATATAGTATATCAAATTAGTATATAGCAATGCAACAGCTGGTTCCGAAAATCAAAATTTTGATATTTATGACCATTTATGCTGGCCTGCTTCACTCAATCGAAGTAAAATATGTTGTGGGGACATGTAAAACGTGTTGTTCTATGATTGTGGTGTGTTTTTAGGCTTGCAGCTGCATTATTTAATAAAAAAAAATGTTCAATACAAGTGCTTTTTTTCAGGCGAACCTAGAAACTTTTCAATTTGAGCTGTGCCATAAGTGTATCAGTTATTAACCAGTAGCATATACACAATATTTACACAATTCAACACATCTCACAAGTGTTACCAGTATTCTAGCATCAAAATTATTAAAATAGACCTTGTAGTTAGAGCTCAGGACTCTCTTGAGTATGGCTATTGCAATTTCCGAGCAGAGGCCTAAAAATAGGGCTAGGGTCCTATGAGTTAATCCTTCAGAGTTATTGTTGGTCTATGAAGTAATCTGTAATGGAGGAGTGCCGTACTTTGCTACAGAGTGGACACTCCTGCCTCGGAGCACCGATCTTCGAGCGGCCGCTGCTCCTGGTCTTCCTCAGGATGTAAGGGTGCTGTGTCAAGTCTTCCAGTCCCACAGACAGTTTTTCTGGATATCCTGAGATCACATGAGGTCTGGACCATGATGCTGGTGTGCGAGGGCGAGACTCGACTTTCTCCACATGGCTAAAAGTATTTGTGATGACAGGACTGCAAGGCTCAGCAGATCTACAGTCTGAGTACAAAGACAAACAGGTTGAATGGCTGCTATTTATGTAACACTCTGGAACTTTGGATTGATACACTTTTGAATAATTGAATATATATAAATAAAATTCTGTGCTTACTATAAATACATTAGCTTTTTGAAGTTATCTAGGAAGTGTTTTGTGAATTTTCTGTTTCTGTGAAGTCATGCTTGTGATAAAAAAACAAAAACAAGAAATAGCTCGTCACCCACCATAATATTTGAGGCTGAATGGCTGAATGTGCGCCCTTCCATCAGACTGGCTGGCAGCAGGAGGATCCTGCTCCAGTAATGTGATGGGCACTGCGTTATTATCTGGTCTTTCTGTGGAGTACTCCAGGGAAGTATACCGGGACCCTGTCTTTTTCCCAAGGTGGTGCAGCCCCCCTCGCTTCACCAAGAAAGAACGAGGCATCACTCAATCGGTTGGAAGAACTGCTCAACACTGCTCAACACCCAGAGATAAAAGAGATCTAGAGGTTTAAAAAAATGTAAAGTAATGTCAGTGTTGGTGATGACATACAAATGTAAAGTTAGGTTTAATTTATTATTCATACAGTTTGACACTGCCTGTTTTGTCACACAGACCAGATAAATACATTTACATTTTCCCGATCTAAATCTTACTGATGGCAGCAGAACTATACATTCAAAAGTTTGTTTCCTGCTGGAATTAAACAATATATTAAATAGATTAAACAATAACAACAGTTAAAAAAGATACCCTAAAATATGTAATTTACTGAAGCAGCAGGCCCTTTATTTAGTGACGTCAAAGTTAGCCTTCTTGTTTCAATAGTTTTTTGCGCCTCTGCAGCTTTGCACATCTGGATTTAAGCAGTTTTTTCTTCTTGCAGTCCTTCTCTAGCTCTCAGACTGGAGGCTGAACTGTGATCTTGCGCAGATGTTTTCACACAGGGGCGCTCTAGACAAAGTTTTCTTCACAGACCTCTCTTGTGTGATTTGGTCTGATCAGTGTTCCCTACGCTTCGCCAGTTTACCAGCCCCTCAGGCGGATTTGTCACATGCTACCGAAGGACTACTTTCTTTTTGTTCTGTCTTTAAAATTCTTCTTGGCAAACTGCGGTTGGCCTGACAGATGCCCTTTAGTCAGCAGTGGCTCACTTGACAGTAAAGGCCTCATTACTGAGATGTTTCTCCCATCTGTGGAGCTTCTGTTAAGCTACATTCACATTGCGAGTGAAGCGACCCAAATCTGACTGAAACATTTAGACCTAAATTTACCACAACACTCTTGGGGGAGAAAAATAAAATAACAGCAGCCGGCTCTGTGAAGAGGACCCGCTCAATATGTAGATATAAACGGCTTATTTAAAGGTTACAAAAACACAACCATTCTGATTTTCAGGAGATTATACACTAAAGCAGTGATTCTTAACCATAGGGCCGCGGCCCACGATGGGGCTGCGAACGCCACCTAGAGGGCCGCAACAAACTTTCAGTTTTGCACCTGGGGGTCGCGAGGGCTGCGGGACCGCATAGGTTATCAATTGAAGACACCAGAGACATTACTGTTCTCCATGAGCTAAATGTATTCTTTGCTACTAATGCACAGCGGTCAGCGCTAGTTGTCTTATATGTATTGAGAGGGAACCCTAGTCATGGTCATAACTTTATAACACAACAATTAACAACCCACAACTAATGCTCTTTAACAGAGAAAAACACAACAGCACACAACAGTCTGTGACAATTTGTAACACTAATAATTGTACATTTATAAAATTTCACCGCAGAACTGCATGCTGGGTACAGCTCGCGAGCGAGCCTGCTTGCTAGCACAACAGTCTGCTAATAGCTGGGAGAGGCTCCGTCGCTCCAGTAACGTTACATTAAAGAACAGAACAGAGCGATGCAGGATGAACAAAGACAGACCGGAGCAGTGTTACATCAGTGTTACATCATTTAATGAATCATAAACATTATATGATTTAACCACTAGAGGGCAGCGGTGTTACATCATTGAATGAATCATAAACATTACATGATTTAACCACTAGAGGGCAGCAGTGTTAAATCATTTAATGAGTAAT